TCCCCCACCACACACACACACCTCCCCTCCAACACCCAACTCTCGGAAGGGCAACCGGACCGAGGCATGAGCACGGTCAAGCAAGCCGAGGATGAGGCTGCTGCGGCCATGGCCAGCAGTGGCGACGGGCCGGGCGCCGAAGAGGAGACCAACGACAACAACGCCAGCGAGACCGGGACGCCCGCCGCAGACGCTATTGAAGGCGAAGGTGAAGGCGAAGGCGAGGGTGAGGTGGTAGAGGAGGTTGTGGAGGTAGAGGAGGTTGTGGAGGACCCGGAGGAGTTGCTTCGGGCACGGCTGGTGGAAGAGTATCCCGTGGTACGGCAGCTCGGGGTGTGCCCGCCGTGGGCGCCGGCGACGGTGCCGACGGTGGCGCTGCCCAAGGCCAAGGCGCTGGCGGGCGGACGGGTCGGCAAGGCCAAGTCAGTTGTGGTGGGCCTGGACTGGACTTCGGAGATGCCTGTTGATCTTGATGCATATGCCCTGCTGTTTGATGAGGCCGGTGAGCTCATGGAGATGGTGTACTACGACGCACTGGTCTCTCACTCGGGTGCTATCCAACACATGGGTGACAACCGGACGGGTGGTCCCGATGGAGACGACGAGTCCGCGTATGACGATGACGCCGCCGTCGACGACGAGAGCTCGATGCCGCCGCCGCTGACACAGATTAGGGTCACCTCGCCGTCGATCCTCTCGTTTGCACCCGACGACGACGACGAGGCAGGCTCGGCCGAAAGCGGCGGTGGCGACGGCAGTGGAGGAACTTCCGGTGAAGAGAGCGCAAAGCCTGAGCACTCGCCCCTCGAAGACGACGACGAGAGCATCCGCATCCGCTGGGGCCTTCTCGACGACTCGGTTCACGCGGTTATGATTGTGGTCAACTCGTTCTCGGGCCAGACCTTTGCGCAGATTCCCGAGTGCAAGCTCCGCATCTACGCCACACCCAAGGGCCTCCCGGGCATCGAAGACGACGACGACGAAGAGTCGATTGATGGCGACGACGATGATGACGAGTACGATGACAACGCGTCAGCATGCACCGACGACTACTACGACGACGACCGATCGGTGGCGTCGGCTGACATGCGGTCTTCGTCCCGGCTCAGCTCCCGCGCCGGCTCGCGCGCTGGCTCCCGCGCCGGCTCGCGCGCCGGCTCGCGCGCAGCGTCCCGGGTTGGCTCTCGCGCCGGCTCGCGTGCTGCCTCGCGGGGATCTTCGCGCTCTGAATCGCACTCACGCTCGCGCCAGACGGCGTCGACTGCGTCAGACGGCTCACTCGACGAAGACGCCGAGGCTGCGGCTGCGGCCGCGGCTGATGCCAAAGGCAATGCTGATGGCGCAGCAGAGACACCCACTGACGAGCCTCTTGAGCCCGAGGAGGACCCGCTGCAGGAGTTCCTTGTGCTAGACGTGGCGTGCGAGTCGGACGCAACAACGCTTGTGGTGGGCACGTTCTTCCGGGCACTCGCACCCAATTGGATGCTTCCTCCCAAGCCCAAGGCCGAGGCGGCCGATGGCGACGGCGACGGTGACGGCGACGGTGACGGCGACAGTGAGGCTAGAGCCGATGGTGCCGACGAGATCGCCGACGAAGGCTACTCGCAGTACGACGAGTACAACGACTCGCGGTCGTCGTACGGCGGCGAGGCTGCTCTGAGTGGTGGTGGTGGGTATAGCGGGTCCGAGAGCGACGGCGAGGATGGCCAAGACGGCGACGACGACGACGACCCGGGCTACGGGCCGGACGGAGTGTGGCACTTTGCGCCGTCGGGTGTGGTGGCCATGGGCAACTCGGTGGAGGAGATGCTGCCGCAGCTTGTGGTTGCCCTCGCGCCATTCACCAAGGGCATCGAGCCGTACGTGCCGAAGCATCTTGCCGCGGCCGAGAGCGACAGCAAGGAGCAAGTCGAGCTCGACGAGGGAACACTCAAGCGCGGACTCTCGCTGGTGGCCAAGACCCGGTCCGGGCTGCAATGGGCGTACACCCAGCTGTTTCTGGCCAAGGGCAGCTGGCACAATCTGGGCCTGCTGACAAGCTACAAGTTGCTGCGGTATGTGCACCTGCCCCACAACGCGTTCACGGACGTGAGCCCGCTCAACGCGCTCGACGACCTCATGGAGCTGGTCATGCCGCACAACCGGGTCGGCGACTCTTGGCTGGCGCTCACGCCGCGCCGGTGGCTGGAGAGTGTCGACCTTGGCCACAACAAGGTGGCGGCGCTCTCGCCGATCGTCCACCCCTCCCTCCGGTCGCTCAACCTCTCGCACAACCGGGTGACCCAGATCGAGCACCTCGAAGACGCGACTCACCTCGGAAAGCTGGCGCTCAACCACAACGCTATCTCGTCGCTCCGCGGCGTGACAGCCCCGCATCTGAAGGAGCTGCACCTCTCGTACAACACAATCCGGCTGGTTGGCGCGGCAGCGATGCCCTCGCTCAGGGTCCTCGTTCTAACCCACAACAACATCCGTTTGACATCCGGCCTCGAGGCGCTCCCTGCGCTGGAGATCCTCAACCTGGCGTTCAACGACGTGAACGACTTGGACCAGGTGGCGGCTCTCGGCGCACTGCCGCGGCTGACGTGGCTCTCGCTTGTCGAGAACCCGATCTCGTTCTCGGAAGAGCTTGGGCCCGACTACCGCCTCGAGGTGCTGATGGCGATCAAGACGCTCACCGTCCTCGACGAGATGGTGGTTGACTCTGGTGAGCGCGAAGACGCCGACGAGCTGACCAAGGAGCGTGAGGCTGCCGCCAACCCGTCATCCGACGCCGACCGCGATCACGACTCGGACAACGAGTACGACGACAACAGCTTTGACGGCGACAACAACGAGTATGATGACGGCTACGATGACTACGACTAGCGCCACAATGGTTACGATCCAGTGTGGGCACGACCGCCATTAACATGCCACTCCTGCCCGTCGCAGCAGCTTTGGGGCGGAGGCGGCCGAGTCCTCCTTCCTGGCTGGGCAAAGCCGTGTGCGGCGGCTGGTGCGGCAGGAACCACGGACACGCCACTCGACGGGGGGACCAGGCGGAAGGACTGGCCGAGCGAGAAGGGAGGGCAAGGAGGGGATGGCTGGAAGCAAGCAAGACGAGGGCATTGTGGGCCGGCAGCTCTACCGACAGGGCTTCTTCCCGCGGCTGAGATTCCGCTGTCAGGGGCGGGCGGTGACCTCGCGCGACCGCAACCTGTTCTACGCCGCAGTGGGCGCGACGTATCTCCCTGCTGTGATCTTTGTGGGGAGCATGTACGTGGCGGGAGGGAGATGGGGCGGAGTAAGAGTAGAAGAGATGAAAGGGAGGGGGGAGGGGGGGAAGGCGACTCATGGCGATGGCAATGTTTGGTTACGATGGCTGGTCATGGCTTGGGTGATCGCGCTCGTGTCCACAGTATTCCGGTGGCACACTCGGAACAAGCGCTGCCGGTGTGGGCGCTGGCTCCGCTCACGATGATGGTGCTGATGATACAGGCGGCGGCAATGGCCAGGGTCCACTATGCCGACCCAGGCATTGTGCCGGGCACATCGGCGTACGGCGACGAGCGTGACAGCAAGGGCGCGGTCGTTCTCTCTGCTGCTAACTTTGCCATCCCCATCAAGCGGACTCCCTGTCGCGGCATGAACGTGCTCGCCAAGTACTGCCATGCATGTCGGGTCTACCGCCCGCCGCGGGCGTCGCACTGCTCGCGATGCTCGACGTGCGTGCTCAAGTTTGACCACCACTGCCCATGGCTCGGCACTTGCATCGGCGAGTGCAACTACCACGCCTTTCTCACCTATCTTGCGCTCACTCTCGTCCTCACTCTCCACACGGTTCTTGTCTGCGTCATGGTCATCCTCCGCCTTGGTCTCAGCGCTCCGTTTGGCCAGGGCTACTCGATGGGAGAGGTTCTGCGGCGGGTGCCGATGGCCATTGTGCTCATTCCGTACGCTGGGCTCGTCTGCCTTGCCGTTGGCTCGCTCTTTTCGTTCCACCTCTACCTCATTGCCTGCAACATGACGACTGCCGAGTACCTTAAGAAGCCGAGCCACCATCCGTACCGAGACTCGATCGCCGTCCACTGCCTTCGTGCATGGTGCCTCGTCCGCCCCGCGCCGCTTGACTGGCGCGGGCCCAGCGCTGTCTGCGCCGACGACCCCGGGCTCTCGTACGATCTCGAGCTTGGAGGCGGCAAGGCGGTCGCTGCATACAACGTCGAGCTTGGCGACTTTCTGGTTCCTGCCAGCAGCGACGAGCTTGACGATGCTGAGCGCGAGGTGGTATTTGATGATGCGGGCGCGGCCGATCGGGACGGCCACGGCATGGGTCTGGAACTGGCGCCGCTGGTGGCGTCGCTCTCGCACTCGTGCTCAGAAGACGGTGCGTGGTCTGGCGGGCCTGCTGGCTCGGAAGCCGACTCTACCTCGCACGTCTCGTCGGTCTCGTCCGAGGGTGAGCCGCTCTTGATGCGACGGCTGCAGCGCCAGTCGCGATCGTCATCGCGAGCTTCGTCTCGGACCTCGTCACGCCGGATCTCGTCGGGCGGGTATGTAGTGAGCGGCGGCGGCGGCGGTGGGCGTGTGTAGCCGACGGGTGCAGCATGCACATGTGGCACCGATTGTTTTACCAACTGCTCAGTTGTAGATCTTGATCGAGTGACCCGACGAACGGGTGGAAGTCGGCGTGGCGCGGATGTCCTCGACCTTCTTGTTGGCGTGACGAATGCCGATGTAGTCCGAGTTGAAGAACTTGTGTCTGTTGAGGATGTACGCGTCGTCGAGGGTCTTGGGCGAGGAGAACGAGACAAGGTAAAACTTCCAGGCGGCAAAGTCCTCGTCGGGGATGGCGAAGCGAGCCTTGACGCGAGCCTTGAGGTCGGCGACGGGCTCACCGGGGCGGAGGTACATCATGAACGGGGTGCCAAAGGTGTGGTGGATGGACTTGACAAAGTGGTTAAAGAACATGGCCTTGGAGCCGGCGGGCACATCGATCTCGTCGGCAGGCACGGGCTCGACGCGGACGATGGCGTAGTGCGGGATGAGATGAACCGGGTCACCCTCGTCGAAAAGGCGCACGATCTTGGCCAGCCGCGAGACCTCGAGCATGCGCAGCGGACCGTCAAAGCCAGCGGGAACATCGGCGTCGGCGCGGGCGGCGAGGGTGTCACGGAGCTCGTTGAGGACGTCGGCAACGGTGGCGGCGTGCTCGACGTAGAGGTCGAGGGTGGACTCGCGCTCGCCAGTGAGCGAATGCAGGTGCAGCGAGAGCTTGCGCTTGGTCTCGATCTCCACCAGCGGACGGTCGAGGACCTCGTAGTAGAGAGTGTCGGCGAGCGGCTTGTAGTGGGTGTAGAGCATGCGGAAGAGGGTGAGCTCGGTGCCCGAGACCGGCGTCCGCCGCAGCGGCTGCCGCTTCGGCCCCTTGGTGTACGCGTTAAAGCCGGTGAGCCGGATGTGGTCCGCGCTGTAGCCGGTGGCAGCGCCGAGCGCCTCGACCACCATCGAGTAGCTGTCCTCTTGGGTCAGGTCGAGCGTAGTCGTCACCGCAGACTTGTCCTTGGCCGCCGCCTTTTCAAGCGGCACAAACTTGATGAGCAGCCGGTTGACAATGTACGTAAAGTAGTCAGGCACCGTCGGGTGCGCCACGTCGCCGCCGGTCTCCTCGCCGCCGGGCGCCTTCTGGAAGCAGAGGATGTCGCCATTGCCCAGCTCGGCCGCGTTGAGGTCGTGGCTCAAGTTGACCTCGTCGATCATGATCGGATCGGCCGTCTTGATCTCCTCGTACACCACCAGCGGCACGTCGGCTTCCAGGCCGGCCATCTCGCGCATGACCGGGAGCAGTTCGGCAATCGAGGTAGTCTTCTCCACCACCTTGCGGCCGACGTACATCAGCTCGTGGGCGACCGGGTCGTAGTACTTGAAGAACAGGTTGGCCTTGGTCGGCGTGATCTCTTCAAACGAGCCCGACTCGGGAAGAACCTCGAGGAAGAGCTTGCACGCGGTGAGCGACTTGAAGAGCGACGTGATCCGCGCCGAGTACTTGTCGTCTGGCACGATGCGCGACGGCCGCGAGGTCTTGTTCTTGCGGTTGAGCCAGTACCAGTACCGCTGCGACGCCGCTGGGATGCCCCACTTTTTCTCGACCTCCTTCTTGAGGCCCTCGAGCGTCGAGTCCTTCTTGACCTTGATAGGCTCGACGTTAGTCACGTTGACCAAGTCGACGTCACGGTGGCCCTCCAGGTCCTTGTCGCGGATGATGCGGATGTTGACGTAGAGGTGTGCCTCGCGCCGCGCCTTCTCCTGCTCGGCCCGCTCGGCGTTCTCGCGCTCAATGCGCTCGCGCAGGTGCTCCGGAATGACATCGTCCGTCAGCTCCTCGTTAACCCAGTGCGAGTCGGCCCGCCGGACGTAGATAAGCATGTACGCGTTGGTGTACCGCCGCGCCATCCGGATGCTGCGGAACCCGTCGTTGCCGCCTGCGCTTGGCGTCCACCCAAAGTTCTCGTTGAGCGCCTGCTTGTCCTTCACCTTGATCACCTTGTCGTCGTCGAACCGGAGCCACTGAGGCTCGTCCGACGGCCGCACAAACGCGTAGTAGTGCCCGCCCTGCACTCCGCCCGAGTGGATGAGGACGCCAAAGAGATCGTAGACCTGCGGCACACTCTTGTCCGCAGACTCGGAGAGGTACTTGTCCAGCTCGAGCACCGTCGGGAACTCAAACCGGTCGTTGATCTTGTTGAACGCGCCCGTCTGGTAGTCGTACTGGAACCGCTTGAGATGAAGCTGCAGGACCGGTGGGAGGACCTCAAAGCGAATGCCCTTGACCGCGTCCTGCTTGCCATAGTCTTCGGTCGAGTACTGGTTCTCGCCGTCGAGCGTGTCCTCGGCCACGTAGTCCTCAAACGCGTCGTACACATTCTTGTTGCCCTTGACGTCGAGCGAGACGTCAAAGAACGACTCGGTCCGCGTCGACGAGTAGTCGACGTTGAGGCACTTGATGTAGTTGAACAGCTTGCCCTCAAACAGCTTGCCGATCGCACCTTCCACCTCGGTCCCCTTCATCTTGGTCTCCAGGTTGTCGCACAGGACTCGGTTGAGCTCCTGCACATCGTGCTGGTAGAACGACTCCATGGCGTCCCATCCAAACGACTTGGTCAGCTCCTTGGTCGACACCGCAGACTCGGCAAACTGCATGTTGTAGAAGAGCCGCTGCAACGCAAGCGGAATCGATGCGCCCACCTTGTCCTCCTCCGTCGGGAGCTGATACACGCACTTGCGGAAATACTTGGTGTGGTACAGCGTCTGGAGCAGCGAGTTCATGTAGCACGTCGCTCCCTGGTTGAGAATGCCCACAAACCCCGTCTCCTTCCGCGAGTCGTAGTTCCACCAGTTGTACGCCGTAAACGGCTGCTCGAGCACCTCCAGCGTGCACTCGACCACAAGCTTGTCGTCCACCAGGAAGCCGGCGTCCGGGTCAAGCACCTTGTCCAGCGTCATAAACTTGGAAAAGCCCCAGTCCGTCGACGTCTTGACAAACAGGTGCGTCGCCGCACGAAAGTGCGAGTCTTCCGCGTTCTTCTGGTTCACAAGCTGAAGCCGGAACTCCGTCTGCGCCCGCCACGTCGCGTCCACAGAATCATCCTGCACACACTCGAGGAAGAGCGAAAAATGCCCGGCCTCGTTGCCCTTGGGGAAGCAGAGCACCCGCCACTGCCGCCCCTCGGCCTCAAACGCCTCCGACCAGATCTTCTTGTCCGTCACCTGCGAAAAGTTCTCGATCTCCCAGTGCGTGATAAACGTCTTGTCGTCCGAATCGGCAGAATCCGACTCGGTCTCGGCTTCCGCGAGCGCGCCGTCTGCCGCATCGTCTACCTCCCGCCATGCACCCACCATGTTCCACCATGAGTCCACCCGTCACCTGCAGCTTCAATATTCCCCCACCCACCCACCCACCCGCTCCACCTCCCTACTAGCCCTGCCTTCCAAGCTTTTCCCCTCTGTGCCCAGCCGCGCATGTCGCCATGATCGACGAGACGGCAACAGCATGTGGAACAACGACGAAACGAAGGCGAAAGCGAAACATCTGCATGCCTTGCCTGCGCGCCGCCGGCCTCCACACCCCGCGCCTCCGAAAGCTCTATGCCCCCCCCATCCCTCGCTTTGGCCCCTGGCTCCTTGGACCGCATACCCAACATCGCCGTTGCCGTCAAACCTTCCATGGTCGGGGGGTGGGCCCGCCTGGCCAGGTCGCAAGTCCGGAAAAAAAACGAAGGTCGCCAGTCGGCGGCTGGAAGCAGGCCTCCAACTGGCGATAGCGGGGGGACGACGGGGGAGACGCAGAGCAAGGGCCACAGCCAACGAACTGAACGAGAAGGGGAAGGGGGGAGTGACTGGCATCAAGCATGAGACTTCACCTTGTAACATACTCGAGATGGGGATATCAGTCTCGGGGTCCGACATGTTCCCTCAAACGGAGCTCCAGAGTGGGGTGTACCCCCCTCACCCCTTGGCCTTGGCCGTCGTTCCTTCTCCTTCCTTCCGGTTTCTCCCCAGCCACAAACCCACTGGCCACTCACTCTCGGCCACCAGCCGCCAGCCACCAGCCACCAGCCATCAGCCACCAATTCTGTTCCTTCCCATGAAAAACATGTCCGTGCCCACCAGTTTCCCCCCTCCTCCCCCACCCCTCCCTACACCCTTCCCCTACCTCCTTCCCTCCCCCCCCCCCCCCCCCTTACACACACACACACACACACACCTCCCCCCCTTCCCCACCTCTCCCTTCTACTCCCCTCCCCTCCTCCTTTACACCCACCCACCCCTACAGCTACAGCCCTTCCCCTCCCTCTGCCTGCCCCTGCCCCCCGCCCGTCACACTCTCGGTTTGTCAGCAACCGAGCCATGGCTAGTACGAGTGCAGAGGCCCAGGTGGGCGATGGGATGGTGTACAAGTCGGAGGACATGCCTGTCAAGATTGGCAAGAGCAAGAACTGGTTGGATGGCCATGTGGTGCTGCGGTCAAACGGGGTCGTCGTCCGCCTGGCTGGCGAGGTGGACAAAGCCAGCGAGCTCCTGGCTAGCCTGCCCGAGGCGGTGCGGACGCCCGACGGCTACATCCGCATTCCGCTCGATACGATCACTCGGGTGACCAAGACCCGCCGCAAGACCCATGTCTCGGTCGTCCGCATTGAGTCCTCGCTCGGGCTCCGCATCCAGGGCGAGCCGAAGGAGTCGAGCCCAAGCGAGTGGCTCGACGCCATCACCCTCGTTCTCAACGAGCACACCCGCGTGCTCACGCTCGAAGCGGCGCTCGAGGCCGCGGGGGGGCTCGGCGATGGTGTCGAGCCCGGCGTTGATGACCATCGCGGCGACCTGGACCTCACCACTGTCGATGAGTCGTCGACGGTGGTGTTCGGCAAGCACCTGCACCAGTTGCTGTGGCGGGACAACGTGCCGTCTATTGCCGTCCATCCGCACCTGCGCAAGATGGTTGCCTTTGTTGAGGCCCACGGACTCGAGACCGAGGGTCTCTACCGGGTCCCCGGCTCGCAAAAGTCATTTTCGAGCTCCGCGACGCCATCGACGCCGGCGCCGACCTTGTCCTCGACGACCAGCTCGACCCCAACGTGGTCGGCGGTCTGCTCAAGCTCTATCTCCGCGAGCTCTCCGAGCCGCTCATCCCTTTTGAGCTCTACGAGGCTTTTATCGGCGTCGGAGCGCACTACGGCGACGTCGACGAGACGACCCGCACGCTGTACATGAAGCTGCTGGTCGACCACCTGCCGAAGCGCAACCGAGTCCACCTCGACTTTATTGTCGCCCACCTCGTCAACGTTGCCAAGCACTCGGACGTCAACCTGATGGCTCTCCACAATGTGGCTCTGCTGTTCGGCGCCCTCCTCCTCCGTCCGCCCAACGCCACCGCGCTCGACATGATGCAGACAACTTCGGTGAGCTCAGCGACTGCCAAGCTCCTCATCGGCCACTACGACCGCATTTTCTCCTCCCGCGGCTCGCGCTTCCAGCTCCTCGCCTGCGTCCGCGCCGCCTTTACGTTTGAGGCTCAGCTCGACAACGAGCTCGAGCTCGCCGAGGGCGACATCGTCTTTGTTGCCCACGAGGAGAATGACGAGTGGTTCTTTGGCTACAAGAACGACGTATCGGGCATCTTCCCAAAGAACTTTGTTTCCACCATCATCGACTTTGTGCCGTACGCTGGCGACGCCGCCGGTGGTGATGACTCGACCTCTACTCCTGCCTCTGCAAGCACCCCCGTCGCACCTCGGTGGCCGTCGAGCCCGAGACGCCGCAGCCTGATGCCACTCCCCGGGCCGATTCAATCGAGCAAGGCGATGAAGGCTACCACGACGCCAGCCCTGACGATGCCTCGGCCGCCTCGGCCGACTCAGCCGACTCGTCCGACTCGTCGCTCTCGTCGCGCAGATCGCGTCTGGCGTCTCCGCCGCCGGCGGAAGCTCCAATGTCTGTTCCTGCTGTCGTCGCCGACGTCTCATCTCCCTCTGCTTCCCTTTCTGATGCTGACGCCGACGCCGACGCCGACGCCGACGCCGACGCCGACGCCGACGCCGACGCCGACGCTGCGCCTGCTCTGTCTTCTATTCCTGCTGCTGCGTCTGCTGCTGCGTCTGCTGTTGTACCCGCACCTGCACCTGCATCTGCACCTACACCTGCATCTGTACCCGCTACCACTACCGACGACGGGCCCCTCCTTGCCCGTATCGAATCTCTCCAGTCGGATCTCGCAACCGAGCGCGCCGCGCGGCTCGCCGCCGAGGCGCGGCTGTCCGAACTCGAGTCGCTCCTCGCAGCCCTCACCTCCCGCGTCACCGATGTCGAGATGGCCAGCGTGGCTGCCCTCACTGGGGTTGAATGATCATGCCCTTTATCAAATAATGTCTGCACCAGACCACAGCGCACCAGCCAACGCTCCCGTGCAGCACGGCAAGTAGCCTCTCAAACAGCTGGCATGACCTTGAGCCATAGACGAAAGACCACAACCACCGCCGGGAACGCCACTCCTGCCACCCCAACCCACCGCTCTCCAACACCACAGCCATGGGCAAAAAGGGCCAGCTGGTGATTGGACCTGCAGGCTCTGGCAAGGTACGCCCCCTCTCCCCCCCCTCCTCCCATACGCATGATGTCTTCTGTCTTCCTACCCATCTCCCGCCCTCGCCACCTGCTGCTGAGACGGACATGGTGGTCGGGATGGATGGGGAAGGTGGCCGAGTGACAAGGGGGTGGGAGAGTGAAACACACTCGCACTCTGCACTCACGCACAGATACACGCACACGGCCATGGTGACACTGGATGTATCCTGGAACTATGGTCTTTGCTGGATACCATGTCGATCGTGGTGCAGTCTACCTACTGCGAGACCATCCATCGATACTGCTCGGAGCAGGGTCGGACGGTCCATGTGGTCAATCTCGACCCTGCGGCCGAGGTGTTCAACTACCCGGTGGCTGTGGACATCCGGGATCTGATCAAGGTTGACGATGCAATGGACGTGCTGCACTTTGGGCCGAACGGCGGCCTCATCTACTGCATGGAGTACCTGCTGGCGCACTCTGAGTGGCTGGAGGACGCCATCGGCGACTTTGACGACGACTACCTCATCTTTGACTGCCCCGGGCAGATCGAGCTGTACATGCACGTGCCGATGGTCAAAGCACTGATGGGCATGCTCGACCGGCTCGGCTACACCATCGCCTCGGTTTACGTCATCGACTCGCAGTTTGTGTCGGACCCGGCTAAGTTTATGTCAGCCAATCTGATGTGCCTCTCGGCCATGCTTCAGCTCGAACTCCCACACGTCTCGGTCCTCTCCAAGGTCGACATTCTCAAGGCACAGCACGGCGGGGAAGAGCCCGAGTTTCTAGAGGACTTTCTTTCGCCGGACCCGCTGCGGCTGATGCAGAAGATGTCGTCCAGCATGGACTCCAAGTTCTACTCGCTCACCGACGCCATTGCCGGTCTGCTCGACAACTTTTCCATGGTCTCCTTCCTTCCGCTCGACATTACCGACCAGGACTCGATCGACTACGTCCTCTCGACCATCGACTACGCCATCCAGTACGGTGAGGATCTCGAGCTCAACGAGCCTGCCGAGCTGGAGGATGAGGTCGACTTGCAGGACGCGCTCGCGGCGTGGAGCCGCCCGTGACGGCTTCAGCCTCTCGTGCTTACGAGAACGTCCACTCGGACTCGTTCGGATTGTCCAGTCCGGCGTAGTCGTCGCGCCGCGGGTCGGCGCAGAAGATGTATCCGACAAGGAAGATGACCGAGACGAGGAGCATGGCGGTGCCAAAGCCAAAGAGCACCGCAGCCTCAGTCAGGTCCATGGTCTTGGCCATAAACCCAAACACAATCGCCACAAGCGTCAGCGCGCACCCGGTCACCCCCAGCGCCGCCGCCAGCGGCTTGGCCCGCCCGGGAGACACGTCCGGCACCGCCTCGGCCGAGTCCTCCGACCACTGCCGCTCAATGTCGTCAAGCACCGCCGCCACATCGTCGTCGCCATCGCTCCCGCCAGCGTCAGCCTCGGCCCGATCCAGCGCAGACTCGACCGCCACCAGCCGTTCGCGCACCTCGCTGCTCGACAACGCCTGGCCCGACCGCCGCACAAACGCATCGTACGCCACAGAAGTCCGCTTCAGCCGCCGGCGCTCCTCCTCGGTCAGCTCGTCGTCGTCGCCGCCATCACCGTCGCCGTCGTCGTTCCCCTCATGCCGGCTGCTCGCCCCGACACCTCCTCCGCCGCCACCGCCGACCATCCGAGTCTTGCGCTTTGCCCGCCGCTCGGCCATCCGCGCGTTGAGTCGAGCCACCGAAGCCTTGGGTGGCGGCGCCAGCTTGGGAGTCGTCTCTGCTGCTTCCCCCGCACCGCCTGCGGTAGAGCCACCTGCCGCAACGCCAACCCCAAGTCCGGCCCCAGCACCAGCACCACCGTCTTCAAACTCATCCGAGTGGGATGAAGATCCACGTCCGTCGTCCATGACTGTGCAAGAGTGATGTGTGCCCGTACTCGTCCTCGCACTCGCACTCGCAACTGAAGCCAGGAAGCGGTGAGTGGCCTGCTGGCTGACTGGTTGGCTGGCTTTGGGTCATTCAACCCGGCCATAGACCGGCCGACCCACAGACCGACCGACCGCGCAACACACACTCGATTCCGGTCGAGTGGTCGCTCCAGGTGGGGCGAGGCGGCTTGGCCTTGGCATCTGCCACTGTCACCTGACTTCCACTGCCTCTCTCCGGGCAACATGGACCGCCATGCCAGGGTATGTGTCATGAGAGAGATAATGAATGGGGGGGGGGGGGGGGGTGTATACCCCCACGAGGGGGGGGGGGG